GATAAAATTGAAGCAAACTAAAACATTATATTCATATAAGTTTTCCATTAAATTCAAAAAAATGAAAATGTGTCTTAAAATATGTTTTTTCCAAAAACACTACAAAAACATTTGACAAAAAAAATCAAATATGTTTTTCYMKAAAAAATYTACGTTTTTTGGAAAGTAAATACTGAATAAAATGTTTTTTGAAAAGTAAATAACTAATGGTCCTAGATTTAGGGGATTTAAACTACCTTTGGTAGAATAGACTTTCTACCATTTGGAAGAAGATCGATAAAAAGGTAGATAGAAGGGGTATAATATGCATTATGCGTGGCGTAGACGACAAAGACATTGGTAGAAATAGCATTCTGCGACTGGTAGTATTAAAGCAAAATGGTGGAAAGTGTAATCTGCGATATGTAGAACTTGTGCAATTAGTAGAATACTTATTTCTACCACTCGTAGAATGATACAAATTCGCAGAACACCTAATCTACTAGTAGATTCGACCATGGTAGAAGGAAAAATAAATAATTTTCTGTCATAATTTTTTTTTCAAAAAAAATATAAACATGAATCTATATGCCTTGTACATTAATATTTTCTATTCTTCTGATTTTATAAAATTATAAAAACTATTTTTTGTATTTTTCAATATTAATGAAAGGGTAATATAAGAAAAAATTGGTACAAAAAAGGCAAATGTTATTTTGCAAAACACTAATTCAACGTGAGTCAATTTAGCAAAATTCCCATATATATTTATAGAACGTCGAGTATAATAACTACTAGCTCTAAATGAGAACAATAAATATGACATTTAATTATTAAAATTTGAAATTACAACTATATAACCAATAAATGTCACCCCAAACCACTTTGTGATTAATGAATGATATTTAGATTTACAAAGTAAAGTTTAAGCATAACTAAAATTTTGAAATCTATCAAAGAATAGCTCGCGACACCTACTTTGTCAACATAGTAATCCTTAAATTCGATAGCAATTATTAACTTACCACGGTTTGCAAAGATACATTTACATGAGGTCGATTTTGAATAAGGATAAAAACCAATTTTATGGTTAATGTATGAGATTTAGGTTTGAAAATAGAGTTTACACGTAACAAATCTTTTTATAATAAACACATTATCTACTTTTTTAATCAACATAACGACATTTATTAGTTCAAAAAAAATAAAATAGCATGAAATGATTTATTGCAATTTACAAAGATAGATTTACATGACGTCGACTATAATCACTTGTTTTGAATGATGAAAACAAAGATTGCATTACGATTACCAATATTAGAAAGTACAACAACCATTGTTGATTTATGATTAACGAATGAGATTTAGGTTAACAAAATAAAGTTTTACACGTAACCAAAATTTCTAAATATATGAAGGTTAGATTCAAAACCTATTTTTATCAATATAGCGATTAGACTCACTAGCTCTGAACAAGGATAAGAAATACTGCAGTTTGATTACCAAAATTAAAAACTACAACAACTCAGCCAGTATCATCGACGTTTTTAATTATGGTTAATGCCTAAGATTTAGATTTACAAAACGAAGCTTACACGTAACTACAATTTTCTGAAATATAGTGTCAAAGATTAACTCGTTAGACCTACTTTTACCAACATACATAAACATTTATTAATCTTAAATGTATAACATGGAATGATTTACCACAATTTACCGAGATACATTTACATGACGTCGACTATTTATTCACTGGCTTTGATCTAGAACAATAAATACTACATTTCAATTACCAAAACTAAAAACTACAAAAACTCAACCAATATCATCAACGATTTATTGTTAATGCATGAGATTTAGGTTTACAAAATAAAGCTTATACGTAACTAAAATTTCTAAAATATATTATCAACGATTAACTAGTTAGAACTATTTTACCTATATACGTCAACATTTACTAATCTTTAAACGTATAATAGCCTGAAATGATTCAAAGCAATTTACATGACGTCGACTATTTATTCACTGGCTTTTTGACTTAGGACAATAAATATTGCATTCTGATTACCATAATTATAAACTACAACAACTCAACCAATATCATCAACGTTTTTATAGTTAATGCATGCGATTTAGGTTTACGAAATGAAGTTTACACGTAATTAAATTTATCAAATACTTTATCAAAGATTAACTCGTTAGAACTATTTTACCAACATACATTAACATTTACAAATCTTCAAACGTAGAATAGCATGAAATGATTTAAAGCAATTGACAAAGATATATTTACATGACGTCGACTATTTATTCATCGGCTTTTTGACCTAGAACAATAACTACTGCATTACGATCACCAAAATTAAAAACTACAACAACTCAACCAATATCTTCAAAGATTTAATGGTTAATGCATGAGATTTAGGTTTACAAAACGAAGGTTACACGTAACTAAAATTTCTAGAATATGTTATCAAAGATTAGCTCTTTAGAACTATTTTACCAACATACGTCAACATTTATTAATCTTTAAACGTGTAATAGCATGAAATGATTCAAAACAATATACAAAAATATATTTACATGAAGTCGACTATTTATTCACTTGCTTTTTGACCTAAAACAATAAATACTACATTTCGATTACCGAAATTTAAAACTATAACAACTCAACCAGTATCGTCACCGATTTTAACTATAGTTAATGCATGAGATTTAGGTTTACAAAATAAAATTTACGCGCAACTAAAGTTTCTAAAATATATTAATGACTATCTCTAAGACCCATTTATACCAACATAGCGGTGTTTATTAATCGTCAAAAGTGTAACACCATGAAATGAATTACCGTAATTTGCAACGATGCACTTACTTGATGTCGGCTGTATACTCATTAGCTCTGACCTAGGACAATAAAAACTACCTCTTGATTACCAAAATTATAAACTACAATAACTCAATCAATATCTTCAACGGTTGTAAATATGATTAATTTATGAAGTTAGTTTTGCTAAACAAAGTTTACACTTAGGTTTACTAAACAAAGTGTACACGTAACTAATATTTTTTTAAACAAATTATAGATTATCTCCAAAATCTATATTTACCAACATAACTACATGTATTAATCCTTAGAGAAAGACAGCATGGAATGCTTTATCGTAATCTGCAAAGATACATTTACATGACGTCGACAATAAGTATTAGCTGGCCTAGGATAATAAATACCATATTTTGATTACCAATATTTAGAACTACGACAACTTACTAATATCATCGAGGATATTTTTTTTAATGTATGAGATTTAGGTTTACAAAATAAAGTTTACATGAATAAATTTTTATAAATATATTAAAGATTAGCTCGCAAGACATATTGAACGAGAACAATAACTACTTTATATCGATTACGAAAATGAAAAACTATTACAACCCAATTACTAATCATTAACATTTAGTGTTAAATATGATAATTATAATTAAGAACAAAATCTACACGTAACTAAAATTTTAAAATATATTAAAGATTATATCGCAAACCCTATCTATTTTTTAACCAACATAACGGTACTTTTATTGATCCTTCCAAAATATGACAACATGATATTATTATTTGTATTTGTAAAAATACATAATTTTTTTTTTAAAAATGTCACTTTTCAAGTGCCATTTTACAAAAATGTCACACTTTTGTAATCTTTACAAAAATATCACTTTAGCGAAATTAGTTTTTTTTTATATTATTTATGTTTGAGTTAATTATGTTCTATTAGGGTTTAGTTATGAGACTTTAGAGGGGTTTAGGGCCAAAACATTTTTTAGTGTTTAGAATTTTAAGATATAGAGCTTAAAAATCTATAATTAGTGGCATTTTTGCAAATAAACACTCTTAAATGACATTTTTGTAAATATGCATATAAAAAGTGGCAATTTTGTAATTTCTCCAAAATACATTTACATTACGTCGATTATAATTACTAGTTCTAAACCAAGATAATAACTATTGTATTTCGATGATCAATATTAAAAACTACAACAGCTCAACCAATATTGTCAATGATTCCATGATTAACGTATGAAATTTACGTTTATAAAATAAAATTTATACGTAACTAAAATTTCTAAAATATATTCAAGATTAGCTCGCAAACCCCTTTTTTTATCAATTGTTGGTTATTTTCATAAAGATTCATGAACATTCACGTTTTTTTTTCATTGACAGCTTAGTAACGATTCTTTTTTGAAAAAATACAACTGTCTTTTACTTTTTTTTTGTATTGTATAAAAAGCTATATTTTTTTGAGAAATTTCAAAACATGCCATTTTTCAAGTGCCATTTTACAAAAATGCCACACTTTTGAAATCTTTACAAAAATGTCACTTTTTCAAAATTATTTTTTCTTTATATCATTTATGTTTGGGTTAATTATGTTCTATTAGRGTTTAGTTAYGAGGGTTTAGRGRGTTTTAGGGGTCAAAMCATTTTTTAGGGTTTAGAATTTTAAGATATAGGTTTTATAAATCTATAATTAGTGGCATTTTTGCAAATGGTCACCCTTAAGTGGCATTTTTGCAAATGTGCACACAAAAAGTGGCATTTTTGTAATTGCCCCTATTTTTTTAGAAATAATTACTAAAACAACTTTGGAAAGTAGGTTTAATTACTAAAACAACTTTTATTCAACCTTAAAACTCAACACAAGTTATAAAAGACAAATAAACCTTAATAACAAGTTTTTATTACAAAAAAAAAATCTCACATTTGTTTGAAACTACTGCCGCGGAGGCTGCAGAAGTACCGGATCGTGCTCGACGGAGGTGCGCGGCGGAGGTGTGGAGGCCGGAATTTAGGTAAAAATCGGATTAAAAATCAAAAATAGTAAAAAAAACTCAAAATCTTTTGATTTTTTGTTAGAAAAAGATATATAATGTTAGATCTACTAGTTTTAGGTAAATTCTAGTTGAAAACGAGTTAAAATACAGTAAAAATGAGATAAAAATGGCTGGCCGCCATTGTTAGGGTTTGAGAAAAGCTTGGTATTTTGTGGAGAAGATGAAAGGTAAATTACGATTTTATCCTTTATTAAATAAATCTACCACTACTATAAATAACTCTACCATATATTATAAATCTATCACTACCACGACTATAAATAAATCTACCACTACTATAAATAAATCTACCACTACTATAAACAAGT